TTCAAATTTCTCATCCATTCTTCCGTTTTATTGCATTTTCTGCTCTCTGTGCCAGTGCTTGCTCTTAGCTGCAATGGCTGAGCGCTCGCTATCGGAACACATCCTTCCTTCTTCCAGTCTTTTGCTGGTCGTCGTGCTGCTTCCAACACTCACCGATTCCATCTCTATTTAACAGTTTCCTTCTCGACTACGCATTCATATTCTATTCGTTGGGGAGTTGCTTGTCTCATTAGATCACGCTTGGAAACGGAAATAGTGCGATGATGAAAAAACGACTGGCGGAGACCGGAATATAATCCTATTAAAGATGTCTCAGGCTAACAATTAACGTTTCGCAAACAATTCCAGTTTTCAGTCTTATTTCAAAGATTTTATTTAGTTGGAGGGTTAAAGCCTATGGCAAAGTGCATTAATTATTAATAAAAAAAAACACTGGCGTGTATAACCCATATAACTTTCTACGCGAAAAAATTTAAATGTTTAAACTTAATGAGAAGTGTGCAATCTGAATAATTTTTCTCTGAGAATGGATAGTAGAGGTATAATTTCTAAGAAAATTTTTGTTTTTCACTCTACCTTTCTATCCCGAGACATCAAGGATTGTAGTAGTCAAAAGTCCAAAAACCAAATAATCTACCTTTTTTAAACATTTTTTTACTATATGATTTTTAGTCCTTTCTAATTATAACATACAACACGGATTCGCTAAGTGAATGTTATTTTTTTTTCGCCATCTAATTATTGCAATTTTCGATCGTTCCAAATGAGAAACGGACACAGCATGGAACGTTAAGCTAGTTTTTACGGTGCGAACGATTCTATCAAAAGCATTATAAATACGGCAGCTTTATGGAGTGTTTTAAGTGTAACTTATACCTTAAAACATGGAAAAGTTGTGAGCAGCAAGGAAGTAAACCAACCTTTACATAAAGTCACGAAGCCTTTAGAAAAATGGCGAAAACTGAATATGTAACTCGCTTCATTGAGAGGAAAGAGGAAGTTTCTTTCACTTTCTTAGAGATCGATTGGCACGACCTGCATCTTGTAATGGCGCTTGTGCAAAAACAGCTGAAACTTCGTGCCTGCACCGCACGTTACAGCACTCACCCCCCTAAACATCAAAAGCTAGACCGCGGCATTTTCGTCCCACTTCGTTTCCTCCTCCGTTACACTCTCGTGCTTCGCTCCATTTATGGTAGTGAGTAAACGCCGCGTTGCAAGGCGATAGTAGCCGGAGCTGACTGGTTTCCGGACGCTAATGTGTTAGAATTGGATTTACTTCCATACCGCTATCGATCTCATAGCTTTTATGCCAAGGGTTCAAATTTCCTCCGGACGGCTTTGTTTGTTCCCGTTAAACTACCTTCAGTCCACGTCTGCTGAGCCAATTTCCAAATAACATCAGCCATTCATATTACAAGCTTCAGCTTTCTATTCATTTTGAGGATGAAGCATTTTTAAGGAAAGGCTATTTAGACATCCATTATGCGCGACTCATTCGTTTACTCAGCCTTTCTGCATAATTCATTCAAAGTGCTCTCGAGACAGTCTCACTACCTCATTGGGATGACGTGGCACACTCAAACGAGCGTTTTGCAGAATATGTGCGGGAACTGATGGAAGAAGATCACTACGACACGCCGTGGGAGTTCCTTGCGCGTCCAAACTCCGTACGGCTTTCGGCCGTAGAAGCTGCCCACTTTAGCAGGGGTCCCGGTGTTAGTACAGGTTCGCCGCAAGGTAAGCAAGCTGGATTCAGCTAGAATTCTCTAGTACTACTACTAAACGATTATTGTTTAGTTTCAAACATAAAGGGCAACAGTTCATGACTGGACGAAACAGAATTTATTGCAACAGCAGCGTTGAATTTATTAAATTATCTACAGCGTTTTTTAATCTCGTTGATGAAGATATTCGGAGTATAAAAAGAATTTTTTCTCTACAAATCAAGAGGATTTATTCGCAAGTATTTGGAATGTAAATATAGACTTTTCTCAAAAGCAATAGTTTTTCGATGCTTTGTGAACGAAGCAAACTTAGAAGTAAGAAGTCCTTCTGCAATTTTTTGTTTGTATTTTCAACCTATAGCCAAGTACTTTTCACACCTTGCTCATATTTTTGATTTACTATTATTCAGTTTGTAATTTTCATGTCCAAGTTTGATGTTCTGGAAAAAAAATTTCGCAGCTAACCAGTGTGCACGCTTGCTAGCACAGTATAAATCACTAATCAAAAAAAAGCAGTCATACTTCCTCAAGCTGGTAATTTTTCAGTCCTCTTTTTGGTTTCCTTTAAAAAATGATACGCATGATAGTATGGAGGACTCCAGTTTAGAATCATCTAAACTAGTTAAAAAGTTTTCGTTATTTACTTTTCTCTTTTCATGCTTCACTATTCGTAAGACGTCAGAATTAAGCGACTAGATGTGAACAGTAGTACTTTGTCGAATCGAGGAAAAATAAAGAACGCC